AGAGGGAAGATAAAGTAGAAAGTTGAGGAAATATGCCAGAAATTAGAAAAAGACAAAAATATGGAAAATGGGGGAAAAAAGATAAAATTAGAGAATTAGTAGTCCAGGAGGTCCCACATTTAAATAAGAAGAATTCCAAAAAGAAAAAAGAAAAGAAAAGAAAATGGAAAGGAAAAGGAATGAATAGCCACAGAAATAGTCTTCTAATATTTCATTCTCCAGAACTGAGGAATGTGACTTTCCAGGTTAAAAGGTCCCACTAAATGCCCAGCACAAATTATGAAGAAAAGACCTACACCAGTCCCCACAATATATAACTTCAAAACAAAAAAAGAGACTCCTAAAATCTCCCAGAATTGGGAAAAACAAAAATAGGCAGATATAAAAGACCAGGAGACAGACTGGCATCAGGTTTCTCAAGAGCAACTATGGGAGCGAGAAGAGAGTACGGAGTGGCATTTTTTCACAGTTCTGAGGTGCAATAGTGTCCCATCTGGACTTCTGCACCTAAGCAAACTGTGAACAAAAGCAGGGAAAACAAGACATTTTCTGACATGCCATGTTCGAGCAGGGCCTGCTGTTTTCATAACAATCCTTGAAGGACGATTTGACCTTTCCAATATCATACATGTAATAATTTGAGAAAAATTAATGTTTTAATATCCCAAAAACAGTCTTTTCATAGAGAAATGAAAAGACCCATTGTTAGGAGAAACAAATTCAAGAGATCTATTGTACAACATGGTGACTATAGTAAATAACAATGTACTGTATTTTGAAAATCAGTAAGAGTAGATTTTAAGTGTTCTCACCACAAAAAATGATAAGGATGTGAGAAAATGCAATTAGCTCAATTTAGCCAATCCACAATGTATATGTATTTCAAAACATCATGTTGTACATGATAAATATACATTATTTGTCAGTAAAAATAAAATATCAAACAAAAAAGAAAAAATACACATTGGGTTACGAAAATGCACTCAAGACAGAAATTCATCACACCAAATTCCCTCTTGATAGCACAGTAAAATCAGAAACAACTTTCTAAAATAGAATCTACTGGTCCTAAGACCAAGGAGATTAAATATGCTCATCTCTGGAAAGTACTGGGAAGCTGGTCCATTGCAGTGTGGCAGGAAAAATACTATAATCCTTTCAGAAAGCAATTTGGTGGCACATTTCAAATCCATAAAAATATTCGTGCACATTTGCCTCACTGAAAGAACTACTGGGAATTTATACTAATGAAATACTCTAAAATAAAGAATACCAGTTCTTCATGACAATCAGAGCAGTTATTTATAATAAAAAATGGTGAGCAAGCAAAGGTTCAAAAATATAAGCACAGTAAAGAAAAACCACGGCACATCAACTCAATAGAATATCGTAGAAACTATTTAGATGCCCAATATGAAATTATCACAGCATAAACACGCTTTTGATACAATA